TCAAGAAATTAGAACATATTTTTCAAGTTTTCTGATTATATTATTATTCGAGCATTATAAATTCTAATTTTAGCTTCTAAAGATATTATTTATTTATATATTATATATTTATTTATATGTTGTATATTTATATATAGGCATTATATATTTATTTATATGTCAAACAAGATATTATAATTTATGCTTTACTTAATCTTGAAAAATTTTAAATTTGTTTCATTCAATTGAAAAACTAGGTTCTCGAAAACTGTTAGATTTTTTTATTTATTGATAATATTTAAATTTCAGAAAATATGTTAGACTTTCCGCGAACAAAATAATATTTTCAGTTTTTTTTTTAATACTTTAACATGGAGCAGGATTCAGAATCTCAATATAAAATTCAATATGAAATTATTATATCTTTTTTTTAAACGCTTTTTTTGACTCATGCCGTTTAATTCTCGTCCATAGATTGTTCTTCATTCTTATAATTGATAATTTTTTTAATGCACATCCTGACTATTTTTTATCCTTCCTTTTTTTCTTTAATATATAACGTGTTTCACATTATATCACGTATATTGATGTTTATAGTTAATCTGGACATAGTAGTTATTATCTTGTTTACCCCCGCGCCACAGGTATTGAGAAATGTCAACAAATATTAATTCCAAAGGGTCTCAAGTCAACGGTGGTAGTTATCGTTTTTAATTATTGATGTAGATATCTCAATGAAAGATTTCGAACATTTTTCAAAGAATTAAAAGGATTTGAAACACCTAAAATTTTAAATGGTTCCTGGGGAGCAAAATAGATGTATTTTTAGAAATGAGAAATTATTTAAGTAGAAATAAAAAATAATTTCATAACCATTTAGTAAAAACTGAAATTATTGGTAAGCCAAAACCAGCCTCTATTATACATATTTTTTAATACTTCAATTAAATTCACCAACTTACAATTTAATTCAGCTCCTTGAAAATCTGGTCCTATATAGCTCAGACTCGTAGCTTTGAATAGGTATTGGTAGTTTTATTCCAAAAACGTAAAAAGTAGTATTATGTACTTTTGTTCGACATTTAGGACTACTGTGCGTCATGCTGTTACTAGAGTTGCCCAAAATGGGTCTTAGTCTTGCACTTTGCAAGACCAAGACCAAGGCCGCCTAAATGTTGCAAGAGCCAGTTCAGAACTGGTAAAAAAAAATCGATGTTTTTAATAAAAAATTAAGGCAAAATAGTTACTAATACTCGACAATCTTAGTTACTATATGTAAATAATTGGTATAACCAATATAGTTTTGCATTTAATTCCTCTAATTTTTCATTCAGGTTTAGTTAGGTTTCTCCTATCTACAAAATACAGTACTGTAAGACTGTTGCGAGACTCTTGTGCAAGACCAAGACCATGACCAAACTGAGTTTACAAGACCAAGACTCGTCTGGGTCTCGCATTTGGGCAACACTAGCTGTTACGATATTCTTTACTTGTGTTTTTTTATTTAAAGTAATATTAACCATAAAACTATATCATTTTAACCATTTCGATCTTTTAAATAGAAAATTATAAATTTGTAATTAATTTTTTAGGAAAAACAACGCCGGTTGATTTTATAGTTTACACTTTTCTTATCATATTTTTTCGTCGTTATTGTCTAGATTGTTGACTTGAGATTTCCTCACTATAAATCTAAATTCTATTAAATGTTAAATTGTAGAGTGAATAAAACCCTTGATTGGAATGTTCCAAAAATGAAGTCAATATTAACTATTTTATTTTTCTGGTCCTTTTATTGGATGCCTTGATTTTTACTGGTTATACTGATACTAGCTATTTCACGTGTTTTATAGATATACGTTACAGATTATAATAACGAAAATATAGTGTTAATTATACATTACCTTTCAGTATAATTTTTTTATAATTCTTCAGCAAAAAATTTAAAGAACAGTCTGAAATCCCAAACATAAAAAAAAAAATCTGAAATTCGAAATAAAATCTCTAATTCCAATTTAGTCTTCCGATTTTATAATAAAGAAAAATATTAAAAATTAAAAAATAATAGGGAGAGGGGATTACTCAGCTCTGAGTCCGTTGGAGAGGGTAATCCAGCATTAAACTATGATTACATCTGAATAACTCAGTCTAAATTGGTAAGCTCAATCCATAACTTTACACGGTGAGTGGGATTTTTTTGTCATTTATAAAAATTCAGAAATGATTCAGTCTATTTTTAATTGATTAATTAATTAATTGACAAGCAGTTTTAAAAACGAAGTTTTTACCACATATATTTAGGATTTCTGTTAATGGTGATATATTGTTTTTCTGAAAGATAGTTCGATTTCCTATCACAGTGTTGTTTATGTCAGTGTCAAATTTAGAAAAAAAGTAAAATAAGTTGACAAATATGTAGCTGTGTTTATTTTGTTCAACCTTCAAATTAAAATAAATTTGAAACATTGAGTTCTTTTAAAGACTTGAATCATTGCAAAAATCAATGGTTTAGTCATCTCAATACATGTATAATTATAAATAACACAACCGATGTAATCTGAACAAATTATTCTATTATGAAAAACAAATAAAAAGTCGATTGTGCTTTTCCATAAAATTTTTGTAAAATCTGATGATATTTCATTATCAATATGTTTATTTTAACCAAATTAATTCAATAAAATTTTCATTCGATATCATAAAACTGAATCTTAAATTGTCTCCTAATTTATCATCTCGGCTGTTGAATTTAGTAGACCTAAGTTCCGTCTATGGGCAGGTGTAATTTTTATATTTCCATTGATAAACACTGCGTTGGAATGATCTTTTGGGGAGGGGAGGGGGGAGGAAAGGTAGTAGAATAAGAAAAATAATATAAAGATAATATCAACATTAGTAGTGCTTTGCTCTTCAGGGAAGCAGTCGAGAAGATGTTCGCCACTGCAAAGTGGAGAATAGCTGTCCAAAGAAAAACTGAATGGCGGAGGTTCCTTTCAGATGCTCCACATAAATTACAGTGCAGCAAGATTTATTTATTAATCTGCAAGTGGAAGGGGGTGAAGCCACTATCAAGACTCAATTCATCCTCATTAAGGCTGATAGTTTTATGTGAAATTTCATTTGGTCCCATCGTAGTTGCATGACTCTCCCAACGAAGCCTTGTTAACTTAATTAAAATGATTTAAGTAGATGTAAGTACATCTAGCTCGTTATACTTCAGTGTATAAATTAGCCTTTTTCATATATAAATGCCGCCATATATTCATCGAAGCACCTTCTCCTCGAATCTTGGAAGGACTTGTTCCTGAGATCTTGTGACTTTCCAACATTAAGAACTAAATTTAATGATTGGGGGGGGGGGGAGATAAGCATCTTATAATGTTTTTTTTTTTACATCCCAATATAAAGCGTTACTTCTTAAGTTCTTTTGGAGAGCGATGAGTGGAGTTCGCTGTGGGCCGAATGGGCTAAAGCGTGTGCACTGCACCGTCGTTGCCTGGCAACCTGATCTATGAATCAAAGATATAAAAATAGTCACGAGTTCGCTAATTTCGAGTATAAAAAAAAAAAAAATAAAAAAAAGAGTGGAGTTCGCTGGAAGAATTCGCCTCAGTATTTCTTCCCCCATATTATTTTGACAGTTTACTTGGGTTCTTAGATTAAAGAATCATTGAACTTACATGAAGTATCCCGTAAGTTGTAGATATGAGAAATTCGATTCTTTTAACTAAATCCATTCACAACAACTCAATGAATGAGGGGGAATTGATTCTTATAAACGATTTTCGATTCATTCTTTTCATCTTCTTTTTTTTCCTTAAATTAAAAAACTACTTTTAATTGAAAAAAAGAACAACCTCATAGTTGTTCAGGCAAAAACATTATATTTTTATTTTTTTACTGATTCAAGTTAAAGTCCTGGTTCAAATGTATACAAATAAAAAGTTACACTACTTATAAATACTAAAATTTGGTCTGTAATTTAATTGGTTATCTTATAGGAGCAGATTAGAAAAAAAATAAAATACATCAAAACCTAGCCCACCCCAAGGACGGTTGTGACAGAGCTTGGGATCGGCAGTGTAAGGTTGAAAAAAAAAAACCGAAACAGTCTAAATTCCTTTTTATTGTATCATATAACATTAAAGAACAATTCAATAGCTTATAACTAATAAGGCATACATATGTTTTTAAGAATCAACTTTCAGTCTTCATCGGGCGTTTTCTGGATATTTAAAAGAAGAGAAAAAAAAAATACTTGTGTCACAACCTTACTCAGAAAATATGTCACAACCATACCCAACGCACTCCTTCACAAAAAAAAACAGTTGACACGACAATATATGTTTATCTAAGCACGTTAATCACTGCTAAATAGCAACTAATGTTTAAAATGTTTGCCTTCAAAATAAGGAAACCTGCTAATCGCTTCCATTATTTTCATGAAAACACAAATAGTAGGATCAAGAACTTCTAATTCGTCACTTATAATTACGGATCAATTCCTATAATAGAGTTTTTTTTATTATTTCTTCTCCATTCCTTGTCTTTTCGACAATACGGGATTCTGGTTTTTATATTACAATAAGTTTCTTGTATTGTTATCTTGGAGTCACTCCAGGTTGAGACTGTGGAAGTTTTCGTCTTACTCCAATATTGAAATGGGCTGCGCCTATTTGTTCCTTCCACCCATACACGACTGCCTCGTAAAATTGGTAGTTATCTGCAGCTACGAGAAGAGGCAAATCTCCTTCCTTGATACTGCAGATATTTGTGCTCCTTATTAGCTTGGCACTCAGTGCCTCAAACGCAGTGCAGTTTGTGATCACATGCTCGGCAGTGTCCGGGATACCACAACTGGAGCATAGGGAATCGATGTCTTGTGAAAAACTGTGTAACTTGGCACGAAAACCCATTTTCTTATATATTTCTTTTGAATCAATACTTTTAATATATTAGTTTCTCTAAATGCTACACTAATGATGTTTTTTTTTGTCTTCCTATCTAGCTAAGCTTTCCGGATGTTTATGATACGACCAGGCTTCACTTCAGATGCGGAGGAAGTGTACAAGCTTCTGAAGGAGGTTTATTACCCAGAGGAACCATTGACCAAAGCTAACGGGCTCCAAGCCGACATCCCGGGGGTGACGAAAGACATTCTGTCTCAAGGACATTCTGTCGTAGCCGTCTCTGAAGGAGGGAGGGTTGTCGGAGTAGCGCTAAACGAAGCGCCGCCGCAGAACTTCCCTTATATATACACCAAGACCAGTGAAGATATCAAAGTAGGTTCTTATTGGTACATAAAAAATTGATGCAATAACTTAAAATAGACATTACATATGATGATTTTCTATTGTCAAACATGGTTATTTTTTACGAGATGATTCCACAGTACAATTCAATGTTCATTCCCGTCTATTTATTGGTTGAAACAGCGACTAAATATTAGGTAAAATAAATTAAAAATGTTATCGCTAAGGCGTTTTAGATTTTACCAATTTAATCCGACAAATACTGATATATAAGACAATCCTGAAACCTATTTGGGCCTACGGACTTGAACTTTAGGGGGACAGCTAAATTATCTAACATCAAGCTCAACCAATCGTTTCAGTTCAAAGTCCTCCAAACAATAGCCGATACTCCGTTCTATGTGACTAACAAAACCCTACATCGTGACCTTAATATTCCTTTTGTGCTAGACCTTATCCCTGAAAAATTTTCCAAATTCCATCAGAACCTTATAAATCATCCAAACCCCCTTGCACAATCTCTTTGTTGTTCCACTCATCCCTACAATCCTCCTCGAAGATTGAAGCGGCAGTTACCCAGAGATCTTTTGTAGTATATATCTTGGAGTTCTGACAATGGCCATATTCTCGACTCAAGACATGAGCGTATGTGGCTATAGCGCTCTCGCTCAATCTCCACAGGCTTTAGCACCAGTGACGCGGTCGAGAGAGTAGCGTAAGGATCTCTTGGAGTCCTGATTTTCCCTCTATAGTTGGAGGGATAAGCCTGGCTCGGGGTTCCCTGAATGATTGTATATAGGAATGACTGAGTTTTTCTGTTTTTAATTTACTTATCTCTAGGTTATTTTTTTTTTATTGTACATAGTTTTTGATTATTATCTAGTTATTATTTTACTTTTGCTAATTTTATCTTTTCAGTACATATGTCGTTAATGTGTTCATATCTCACTATAATTATTGTCCACATGACTGATTATTATATTTCTAAAGAAATTAGACAAATAAGTTATTGAATGTCGTTTTGCAAACTCTTTATTAATTTAGATTGTAATTCAAGACCTGCCTTCAATAATTTAATATCTATCTATACCAGAGTTTGAAATCAATAATTAAAAAAAAAAATCTGATCAAAATTTTTAAAATCATTTAATCATTGTTATTACGTGGGATTATACAGGATATGATTTGTTGTCATAAGTCATAAAAATCATATCCTGAACATTATTTTTGAACAAAATGTTTACAATTAACAATAATAATAATTCTTGAGGAATACTTTTTTAAATCATAAGTATACTTTTTTCTAATCTCTATGATGTATTTTGAGTCACGAGTATTAGGTGGAGAATATTGTTGGCAGCTATCAACATTATTTCCGAAATTCAGTAGACATTTTGCCTTACAATTAAAGCAATTTCTATTAATGTAATATTAAAAATTATGTAAAAGAAATAGCCCAAGACAAACAGAGATGGAGCAGGCTTCTTAAGGCGGCAAAAAATCTACTGTGATACAAACAGAAATATATATAATTTTTAAGATAGGAAATATCATTTTCAAGATGAAATTTTATTTATCTATCAGACTCATGTCCTTGGGAGTAATCAAGAAAATATTAAGAAACTCCCTACAACACTGATAAGAGAGGCAGAGCAGGTCGGCCTACAAGTGACTGAAGACAAAACAAAATATATGACAATAAGCTGAAAATTCTACCCCAATAACAATCTGCGTAGGAGGAAAAGCATTCTCAAGATTCGAAAAATTCAAACACCTCGGCTCCACAAGGTGTCGGAATCCCGAAAAATCCCAAACTAAAGGTGTGCAATGCTATGATAAAGCCAGTTCTAATATATGGCCGTGAGGTCTGGACACTAACCATCACCATAGAAAAGAGTGGTAAAATATTTGAAAGGAAAATTCTCCGCATAACCGAAGCTATCAGGGAGAAAAAAGACCAACTAACAGCTGCTTACAGAAACTGGTCAATCAATATCCCGTGGTATAAAGGCACTGAGGTTAAGATGGGCAGGGCACGTAGCTCGTAGCAATCCATCTGGAAACCTCTACATAACAATGAATGCCTCAATCGAAGGCAAAAGACCACGTGGAAGGCCAAAAGGCAAATGGATAGATAGAATCAACAAGGATGCAACAGAGTTTCATGCAGATAAATGAGAAGAAATAGCCCAAGACAGGCAGAGATGGAACAGGCCTGTTAAGGTGGCAAAACATCTATATTGTCTGTAGTGCCACCAGAAAAAAAAATTAAATTAATTATTTATCTAAAACTCTATCACCCAGTAAGTGATCATTATTTTTAATCGAATCAGTATTATCAAAGATCGATTTTAATTTGTATTTATAAATCATTTTAAATTAAGGCGTGATTTTTAAATTAAAAATCAAATATTATAATTATTACATGATTTTGGGGGAAAAAAAATTAGCAATTTCAAACCCTGAATTATACATAAAATTATTAAATTTCTATCATTTTTTCGCATATATTAATGTTATATGTATTTAGGAGTTTAATCTTAATGTTAAACATTACTGTTATCAGCATGTCGCACAGACAGGATGAATAGAGCACAAATCACACTTTCACGTCACACAAGTTCACGGCAGAAATCTTCAATGTTTGGACCTTTACCATCTCAAAGATCAACCATTCCTCAAATTTCTTGCTAAAAGAATGTGAAGAAATACCTCCTGAGCTTTTTGTGGAACTCAGCCTGTATCTTGAGTTTGGTCTAGCAAAAAAACATGTCTTTAGTTGTGCTTCTTTTCATTCTGTAATTACAATATATATTTATATCTCTGTATAGTCCCACATGTCTCTAAATCCAATTCGGTTATAACCCGGAATAGATGATAAATTAATAAATACTGTTTGTTTATTTGGGCATAAAGTCCTTGTTTACTTTAAGTAGGTGAGAGAGGGCTAGGCTAGGCTACACTACAGCAAGCATACCTATTCTAGTCAGTATGTGAAGATCGAAATTCATTCCGTCAGAATATTTTCTATTATTTCCTATTTACAAATTAATTCCATATTAAAATGTGAGACAAGAATTTAAACATTACATTTTATAGTTCACCCGATTTGTAATGAAAGACGTGTAAATAGAATAGATTCTATTCAAGATATGTACATCAAGTTTTAATCCTTAAACTGTCAGTTGTTACTTGGCTTGTAATTATCACAGGCATTGAAAGATTTAGAGATATTAATTAGAAATATTCCATAAATATATGTATATGTATATGTAACTTTTAGGGGTTATTGGTTAATTTTTTGGCTGGTAATTTTGTTCACTATATTTTTTGAATAGTTTACCTATTTGTTTCCCAATCTCCATAGCGATATTTTATATGGAAACTATAGTTTTTCATATATAATTTTAAGAAATATGTTTCCTTTTTTATTGACAATTTCGTACTCTTGTTTTCAGAAAGGATATCAGTAACATTGATCAAAACATTAAAAAAATTATATTAAAAAAAGGAGCATTATGTATACTTTGTCAGGGAAATAATAAGATTTAAGTACTATCTTGAACAAATATAAGTAGTAATAAATCACTAGCCTTTTTTATTTTCCGTTATCAGCGATCCTCGAATCTGAGTCAGATTAATCAGACAAAGGATAAATGATTCCAGATCATGAAAAGGCCTGCTAGACCATGAGTCATAACGAGATAAGCCAAAAATCAAAATAGCAATTCATCAAAGGATAATTGTATTATTATAATATTTTATTATTGTACGTAATTCTTCACTTACGTACTTACGTTCACAAAAATATTATTTTACTTTTAACTATGTTCTCCTACAACAATATTTTTTTAAATTTCTTTATTTATTAATTCACATCTGATAAAAATATTGACTATCAGTGAGTTTGCTGTGCTGAAGAACATAAGTAATAGCATTGGTCGGCGTGAAAGTGGTAAAAGTCTTAATACCTGAAAACAAAAAGTTACACTCACAAAATTTCATTTATCAGATATGTATAAAAAATACTAGTATTGCAAAAAAATATAAATATATTTTCACGAAGGGAGCCTAATTTTCCATAACAGGCTACTTTAAATTCATAAGTTGTTTGTACTATGATTTATTGTTATAAATAATACTATTCATAACTGAAAAGGATTTTTACCGGGACCTTCGTGAATTTCTTGCATTTCATCATAAATTAAATTTACTTAAAAAAAAAAATTGATTATCTAGCTCATAGTTCATTTTAATTGAAAACCTCCCGTTGCTCACAAACAGAGTGAATTATAACTTGGCAGATTATCGTATTTGAAGGACACATAAACATTATTTGATACTAGGAATACCTGATAATGCATAGGTAGTTAAATTATTTTTCTGTTTTCCCATTTGAAAACAGAAATTATTGAAGTAAAAAAAAAAAAAAGAATACTCCAAGGACAGAGTGGAAGGATATAGAAATAATTGCAAATCGTACAATGAAAATGTAATCTTCGATAAAAAGTTGTTTTTTTTTACTTTTTGCCTCTAACTTTAAAAGGTGGTTCTTCACGAGAAAGAACCTTGCAGTCCCCATAATTATTTTCAATTCCTTATTGTTAGAGATTAAGATGAGCTCATACTAACTTATAATAAAAATAACATGACAAAAACAAATTATAAATATTTTTTTTATAAATATTGAAAATTTAACCAAAAACCATCTTTCATTACCATAAAATCTCACAGTTAAAATTTCAAAATGGAAATCATTGTACTTTATATTACATCAGAAACAAAATCATATTACAAAAAATAAATAAAAGTAGAATGAATGAAGTTTTATTAACAAACAAACAACAAAAGTAAATTCAATTCAATGAACTTATATTGCATACGGGTATGAAATCGTTTTAGACAGGCTGGCACTGCCTAGTTCATTACATTCACCGGTTTGTTTTAATAATATAGATTTAATTTTTATATCTAAAAAAATTATATAATTTTTGTATTAAAAATAATATAGTTTTAATAATAATATAGATTTTATTTTTTCGAAAAAAAAACAAGTGAACTTGAAGGGTTGATTTAAATATACTTTTCTCAATATAATGAAATATATTACCAAAGGCAAATAAAATCTTATTTAATAAACATAAAGGGGAGTGGGATAGCTTAGTGTTAGGATACGGAGCTTCCAATGAGGTCCCAGGTTCGAATCCCGGCTAATGGCAAAATGTTTATTTATTCTGTTTCATTGGCCGTGGGGCGTTCCTGGGCTGGAAAGATCCTTCTCGGGCACACCCAGCCTCTTAACGTTAACTGGCAGCCCAGGTCCTTTATTTTCTTCTTTTTTTTTTTCTTTTAGTAAACGTATTATCTCAATGAGTCTTTTATTTTCCCTATGATGATTATATTTTTTTCAACTCAAGGTTAATTCAAATAGTTTAAAACTTTCGTTTTATAAAAATAATTTTAAATTTGATTTAAAATTTAATGATTTTTTTTTTTAAAAACACTCTTTAGAACAATTTATTACCAGGCTACGGTGAAGGTGTAAAGCTCTGTTTTAAAGTACTACAAAACCGATTTTTCATTTTTATGGCTAAAATTATTTAAGGAGATCCCGGGACTGTTTAAAAAAAAATTGAGCTAACAATATTGTATATTCATGATTACTCAATATCTCTGTTGTGATGATGAGACAAAAAAATGAAACTTACGCCAACTTGCTTAACGATATTATTTTTAACATACTCAAACAAGGAACTGGGTTATTCTGAAATATTTTTATATCTTTATGAATTGATACGGTTTAATGATTTTACCTGAGATTAAAAATGTAGAATTATTCTTGATCCCCACAATCGGATTAGCTGTCATCAAACAGGGTTTCATATAATTCCATAAAACCCATGACGTCTTGAATATAATTTTTCTCTTCATTAATTCATAAATTATAGTTGAACACTCCTTGAATATTTTTTTTAATATTTATGTTTATGTTTTGAATTTGATCATTCATTATTTCTGTAATATGCCTATATTTTTACTGTAAATATTTCTGGAGTTATAATATATCTGCTCTTGGTATCAGCTGGGAGCTCACTGACTGAACTAAAATGGACTAAGCCGCAAAGACAATCCCGGTATAATTGCGTTTTCCCGGATCTGATTTAATTTTCGGAGTTTTCATTAAACCTCAATTAAAATTCTAATTGCTCGTTACCAATAGCTTCCCCCTCCTCTATAGTATTTGCGGATTTAGCAAATGCCCATCTACCTCCTTCCTATTCAAATTAAAACGAGTCACTCAATCAAAATTATTTTGTTTTCTTTATAACCCTACTCATTAAACCACAATTTATATGAGTTCGAATAATTGGTAAGCCGCTTCGAGCGAGTGGCTCTGATCAAAGCCTGAAACGTCGGAACAAAGAAAATAAGTATAATTTATTTTTACTTTGTACTTATACTGACTGGAATGCCTAACCAACTTCTTACCAACAATTGGTAAAATAATATTCTTTTTCGGAAATAGAGAAATCCGTTTCGTTTAAAACGGAAGGAAACTAAATGAAAATATTATTACACAAAACTGGAATGTGGGATATTCTACCAATCGTTACTAGTTCTTTTTCCAAGGAGATTATAGGTTATATGTAAAATTTCTTGTATACTGAATGATATGGTCTGGGCAATTGAAGCTTGAAATTTAATCATTTTTACCTTAGGTCTCAATTCGTTTTCACCGTTGGATTTATATTCAAATCGTCAAAAAAAAAATGTCTCTCTTCTCCTACTACATAGTTAGCAACTTTGAAACCAAATAAATTTTCTATTCTCTCAATTATTAACTTACTTCTTTTTACTAATGATTCTAGTAATATGATGTTTTAAGACGAATAACAGAAACGGTTGTTATGATAAACTAATTGAGACGCATAATTCCTCTATCCCATCGATGTGGTATTTTTATTAAAATTTATGAAAAATCCCGCCGAGATTTTGTATTTTTACTTTTCATGAGCGGACTGCAGGAGGTTTCTGTTAAATTGAGGATAACCTGATTTTTAGTCTCATGTCTGTTAACCGTTGTTAATTTTCTGTCATTTGATTTTCATCACACGGTTTATCTTCCGTGTAAAATATAATGTATATTTGCTTTTTTTGTGATCGGTTCAGTGTTCCAGTTTATGCTTGGTTTTTTTTCCATTAAATGGAAGTAGATGCGGAGCTATTTCATGTGATCTGTCTAGGCCTTTCGGACGATACGATATTACGAGCCCTCTTTGTTTAGAAAAATAATAGCAATTTATGTAATTTTATCGTTTTAAATTTACTATATAAACTCATATACTAAGATCTTTATTTTTTATTTATAAATTAGTATTTGATTCATTTGAAAATTGATAATAATACTAATCATGGATAGAATATTTTCTGTTTATTTTTCTTATTGACATTCTATTTCCCTCACCTTTATAACTTCCATTCAATCATGATAAGGCGTCTCTATTCGAACTGATCTCTATGAAGGGATTATAAACCAATAGAAGTTTTCTATCTATAAGAGAATTGTAAAACAATTTTTACAAACAATTTTTCGGTTCAATTGGAATCTTAAAATTTCCTCGAAATATCAAATATCTTTATCGGATCCGTAACATTTTAAATTAAAAAAAAAAAAAAAAAAAGTATACCTTTATATTATATCTGAAGTTTTCTTTTGGTTTCCTGAGAGTAATATGAATTATCAATACCTGAAAAGCTAAAAACACTATTTAATATAAAATAAATACGACTAATGAAATAATGCTATCCCTCCTAAGGTACAGGGATATACTTTCCAATCTATTTAAACACAGGGTGAGTTGTTGGTGACGTTTTTTCTTCAATAGAATAAAAATAGACCGTGTTTTCTTTTAAAAGTTTCCAAGTTCAAGAATATAGTTGATGAAACTGTAATAAATGTCTGATCATTTAAATGATTACTTGCTCGATAATCACTCCCACTCTGATAGGTACAAGTGCACAATAGTAACCATCAGTATTAAAGTGAAAGTAGTTGGATCTCGTCTCCAGGGGCTACAAGCAGTAATGTTTTTCTATTCTTTATAATTATTTGTATCCATTGCATCGAATATTCACTTATGGAAAAGATATAGTTTCAGGAGCTGTTCACCTACATAGAGCGAGAATCTGGGGTCCTCAAGATAGCTCCGGGCTCCTTGGAGGTTCGAATGATCACCGTGGACCCCGAATGGCGAAAGCTTGGGATAGCCACCGCCCTCTTGGACGCGACTCGACTGAACGCCATCGAGAACCGACTCCCCTTCATCAAGATCTACTGCACCTCCGCCCACTCCAGCAGCCTCATATCCAAGATGGGCTGGCGGCTCCTGTACTCTCTGTCGTACAGCCGCTACCTCGAGGAACATCCCTCTGGCATAGTCGTCCCTCCGGCGCCTCACGACTGCTGCAAGCTGTACATAGACCAGATAAATGGCTATCAGTCTTCTGATGGAGATCTCCCTGTGGAGAGGGTCGTGTCTCCAAATGAAACTGTATTGCGCTCTAAAATGCTTGTACGAAATTGAAATAGAGTTCGATGAGGATGATGGAAACATACTCTTAACTACTAAGCATATATATTTTTTCTGGAGATTTCTTTGATTAATTTATTTCAAATTAATTCACAATTGCTCTTTTTTAAAATTATTTTATCTTTTTAACTATGTCTCAATTTTTAACTGCAATAATTTTAATATTTTTTCAGCTCGGACATTCATATTAAAATGGTAAAATGACATTTTCTACAAACATTTTTTCACGACTACCATATACATTTATTATACATTCAAAGATTATATTTTTATAAATACGGAATTCATTTTTATAACAGACAACTGCATTTTACATCAAAGGACCAAAACTCTTCCATTTCTCTTAACTTTTTTATAATCTAGAAAAACTATATTTATATAATTTATAATCAGATATCATGGGCGGATCTAGACAAGTAGGGCATTAGGTAATTTTGGGACTCCTCCCAAAAGTTTCAACCTTAGACCTGTAAAATTATAATTCTGTTTCCAGATTATAAATTTTATAAAGCTTTAAATTCATTTCCAAATTATTAAGCTTAAGTATTTCAATAAATCAAGGCCCAACCGTGGTCCTCTGCTATCCGGAAACCTACGGCCCGCTTAATCCGCTTAACGCTTAATCCATCCCTTGTTTAGTATTTAAGTTCTATGTTCCAAAACCAAAGATTTGCAACTCTAAAATTTTTATTATTTAATTTATAGCTATTATATAGCTATTTTAAACATGAATTAGAAAGTTTGTATCTATGATTCACAGTCATAGAAGTATTATTGGAATATTTCAATATAAGTTTATTACAAAATTTGTTATGTTTTAGGTGAAGGGCTTATGTTATTTTGACTGGATATATACTATATAATATATATTATAATAAACACGACAATGTTGTTTATATTTGTATTTTAATATTTTGTAACAATTATAGTGTAATTAATTACATTAATGTAATAATAGGTTACAGTTATACATTTTAGGCACTCGGTCGTAAATAACCTTTTGAAATAAAATACTCAGACTTTAGCTTAACATCATCTATATAATATTCTTATTAGATGCTCCTCATATATATACATTTTTTGGTGAAGAGGGGGGTTATTACCGATTATAGAGTAGAGGTGCAGGCATAAAACATTTTAATATGAAATCTGTTTCACTTGTTTCGTGACAGATACTACATTTGACAACAATTTATGTAAAGTATTGACGATAGCTCACCTTAAGCCCATTATGAAGTGAACCAAATTAACTTTTTACTCACCTTGATTTTCACTTGCCACAACTTAATATCTATATTAGGATTTTAAAAGAAAATTATATAAATTTTTTCATTGACCTATGAAATTAATGGTTTTAATACCATTTTTTAATTAAGTTTATATCTTATATATCTATTAAGTTTATGTACCTATTTACCATTTTAATTAAGTTTTAAATTGATGCTAAATACCATTTTTATGACCGAGTTCCTCTGCGTTTAAGTTTTATACTTCAACATAATTTGTATGTTATTCATGTATTTTAAATTAAGACTTTATTTTAGATTAATTGTGTGCAATCTTACATTAAAGCGTTTGAATTAGAAAATTCAAAACAGTTAATAAACTGTAGTACTGTTTATCACATATCAGTAATCGCCAATAGTTTATTTTTTAATCAATAATCAAATCTTAATCTTCAGTTGTTACAATCTTAATGTCAAATCATCACGAATTACGTTGGGTGTATGGCAAACTAATGAATGAAACTAACAGTAAATAAAATAATCACAGTGACAATAGTCTATTGTTTTTTTAGTTTGAATCTTTCCTTATATAACTTTTTTCTAATGGATATTTCATCCATTTATTATTCCTGAAATGTAGATTCTATACTTTTTTATAAAAATGTTCTTGAAACAATTACTAATAAGATGGTCTAGTAAAAAAAATCATGAGTTGGACAAGGAATGTGACGCACTCAGAGCTTTTTGTTTCACTAGAAATCTCAAAAAAATTTTTTGCAGTTTTACTAATTTGCTATACGCCCGACGATATCTTCAGGGAGATTTTTAACGAAGTCAAAAACAGAAATATTTTTCTTAGATTGTAAGTTTGTTAAAAAAAATTAAATTATTATATTTCAATAAATGCAAATCGTATGTTTTTCTTTCATATACAATCCATTAAACATAATTTAGTCAACTTGTATTCCATTAATCCAATACATAACGTAACAATCTCAATTCACCACCTATATTATTAGACTAATAACTTATATTATTAGATTGTGTTAAAATTTAATAATTAATTAACAAAATGAATTTAACATAAGAAGAACAATATGATTTGTATAAGACCAATTTGTTTAAAAAACGCATGAAATAAATATCAACCAATACAAACCAGATTCGAACGGGCATATAATGGTTGAAATGCAGAAAACACCTACCTTTTCAAAGTATTGGGAAAAAAAACATTTGACGCTTATTATAGAGAAATATATTGGTTACCTAAGATATTTTACTAATTCAATCGGAATATATTATGTTGTTACACTCATGAAATAAAGTTTGATTTTCAACCAAACATTTTCAACATTATTATTATTGCTGCTCATTCTTATTTTGAGCGATTTCCCTTTACTATCAACAACTATGTCTCACAACATGAAGTGCGGTGATATAATTTAGTATTTTTTTTCTTTTTCTGTCAGTAATAATTTTCTGAACAAATACCAAATAAAACGAACAACTAAAAAAAAAAATGTTTTCAATTTATAAGTTCAGAATGCAGTCGACCGCAAATATAAAATCAATTTTTATATTAAGATAAGACTTCTAATAAAATATTAAAACTAATTTTAGCTGCGTCTATCTGTATCTATTTCATTTCAGAAGTTGAATTAGCCTTATCATATTTAATTTTTGGTGAATCTTGTAATAAACAAGTTGCCCATCTATATACTCAGTACCCACCATCTTAACCTGCCTTTATATCATGAGATGTAGACTGACCATCGCATCCCTGTTACCTGATCGTCGCAGATTAAAAAGAAAATGGCCAAGAGACCTACTCCTACAATAATTGCAAAATGCAAGCAAATCAAGAATATTCGCAGCAAATAACTAATACATCAAATTTGCTAGATACGCTGCGTCACAGGTTTAATAAAATAAATGGCCTAGAATATTAAAATAAAGAAATAAAATGTTTTGAGATGAAGATTTGGTCAGGCGTGCTTCTTCCTGTACTGAATCCTGCTTAGCGATCGCCCATTATTCATTCGTAATATGGACATCTTCAGTTTAGGATTTGTTCAGTATATTTTGGACAACCAAATCAGGGAGTTCAGTACCTCTGTAATTACCACACTCATACATGGAGATCTTCTTTAGGACAGGACAGATTAGGCCCGTAGTATGATATGATTAAATATAATACAGTATATAAATACAATACAAAGAAGGAACATTCAAATAAAGAATGTATAATAATAACAAGGTGGAAGGTTCACCGACAAAACTTTCTGGTATGTGTTCTCCTAGTCTTCTCTGATGAAGGAGTCGGCCGATGGTTTGAAGACTTTTTAGTCTAAATGAAATTGGATTCCTCATCAGGCTATTAAATCGCCAGACCAGAAAGTTCCTTGTGTGCTCATTACTTATCATTTTCGCCGTGATCGGCACTCGACTATACTACCGGCCAATCGATCTCTACTATTCTGTTTGCCCACATTGGTGAAACTTCGACTCTATAGATACTTGTGCCTGAGAGAGTCGAGATTTTGTTTACGAAATATTAGAAAGTAATATTCGCTGTTTAAAATAATAATATTCTAAGTACGTGAATTATTCACTTTATATAATTTGTCTTGTTGAATCGATTAAGGATGCTAAAAATGTGTGTTGATATTTTATTAAAGCCTTCTGTACGTATTACGGGAGCACAGTGAAATATGATTAGAAGATCGGTCCCGTTGGAGTTAAGGAAACATACGGAGGAGAACTGAGATGGAAGAGAAAGAAGAGGAAATGCAGGAAGCTAGTGTGAGTAAATAATACAGGATGCTATTGACTGGGCTTCATAAAAGATGCGCAGTACGGTCTTGCCGAGTCAGTGAAAGAGGCAATCACTTGTCCCGTACGTGACCCCTCGAGGCAGCTCCCAGCTGCAGTCCTCTCCTTTCCAGCCTCCGCGGGTTTATTCTGCCTGCAATCCGCCCCAGGGCCTACTCAATCCCCGACATATCTTACATGTTATTTCCTCCGGTTCTTATCTCGAGAGGAAAGAATAAAGGAAGGTGGTCAGAAATAGAAATCAACCGCAGGTTTCATATGACCTTTGGAAAAAAAATATTTTTCGATTATTTCTTCACTCAAACTTAAATTCCGTTTGATAACAAAATTACAGCATCAATCAACCTTGCAGGTATGTGGTAAACAACTATATGATCAAACTTTTATTTATTTTTATTTTTTAACGCCTATTGACTCTTTCGACTTCCGTCATCAGACTTCTCGTTGCATTGGGGATGTTCTAGGCGATGAGCTGTGATCGTTTGGTTCTCTTCTTTTATAAATATAACCAGAGAGCACGTGGTTTATCATAACTGGACGCGATAATAATCACTTCCTCTTCATTAGGATGGTTGGCTACCTTTTGCAACCTGTTGTTATTTTTTACGCGATAGGATTGTTAACCCTGTGCCCAACCCCTTATCTGAAGAACCAAGGAGCTAAGCTGTTAGACACAGGGGTCGTTCTCCTTCCTATGAATCTCAGGGTGGGGATGCTACCGTCCCCATGCGAGAATCAAAGCAATTGAATAGAGACTGCACTTATTTATTTAATTGATTATTAATTATTTATATTTTTAATTGTCTTTGTTATTGAATCCCGCGAACGTGATTTAAACTCGTAACATAAAATTCTTGCAGGCGCCTTAACTCGTTCGACCACTGCGGCCTCAATATGATAAATCTAAATAAATGGAAATACCTAATAACGTACAAT